AAAGAAAGAAAATCCTCAATACACTCTTCTATCACTAAAGAGAACTAGAAAGTCACTCAAAAATGATATATTATTGAATTAGAATGGCTATTGTCAAAGACAAGAAGACTAAAAAGTCTTGGAATAAGACTAAAGACTAGAAATGCATTAACAAGAGTGAAGAAGGCTTTACTCTTGCCTCCATATATACTATCTAACTAAGAGCTATGTGGCGATGTCCTATAGGACCTCCAACATATGTTGACTTTGTTAGCCACATGTTTTATATTACAAGGCAAGTTATCTATGTATGTGCCACGTAGTTCGCTTGTTCTACAAGCTATTACACAGAGATAACTTGTTCTACAAGCTACCAATATATGGTTAGTTTTTTGGCCAAGTTTCTAACCTACAAACACATCTAAAGTCAAAACCGCATCTATGAAGCTTCTAGGAAGCTTCTTTAGAATACTTTATGAAATTATTCTATATTTACTTACTTCTAATTAATCATATAAGTAACTATTGAAGTAAATATATATATGCATGACATTACCCTCCCTTCTAGGGACGAGTTTCACAAAGAGCGGTCTTCATATGTTGAGAAAGTCCAAGATGTGATGAATTGTATTTGCTACATACTCTAATCTTTGCTCTCTTCAAAGATAGTTGATAGGTCCTCTCAACCATTTATAGTATCCTATACTAAGCAAGAAGATGAGCCTATTATTTGATCATTGTTGAGGCCTTCATAACTTCCTTCAAATAAAACATTTGGAACACTATCAAGAGTAGTTCTTACCTCTAATAAAATTACTAAACATTGGGAGTCTCTTCCAAGGTTGTGATACCAAACACGTTGTATCTCGCTATTTATTCGAGGAAGGACATGTTATTCTTGAAGATCTTCATGTCGATTCCGTCGTCTTGAAGGTTGTGACAATTACGATGTCTCGTCTGATAAGTCTGCAAATGAAAGCTCTTGAGTTGAATCTATTAGTTGTTGGTGCTCCATCTCATCACAAATATACAAAAGCTACAATGAAAGATAGAAGGTAGAATGTTATTTTTCTTTGATCTTGTTTCTTTTATAGCAAAGGTTTGATATTCTTCAACTTGATTTTAATAGATGTCATTGATGAAAGACTTCAACTTTCTTTGCTGCATTTGTAAGATTCTTTGATGGCTTCCTTGTGCGTTCATTAATATCATATCCGCACCAATGAACAAGATATTCCAACCTATTTCGGCACCACCTTGAGTCTAAGACTTCTTCTACTTCAAACTCTTGGTTATTATCTACTTTTATAAGAGGAGGTGGCATTTGTCCTCTTTCCAAGTTATTCACTGTCTTATACGGCTCCAAAAGAGACACATGAAATACAAGGTGGATCTTCATAGACTCTGATAGATATAATCGATAGGTAACAAGATTGATTTGTTCACAAATAGGAAAAGGTCTCAACCTACAATAATCTAATTTATCACAAAGACGAATAGTCTTAATATTATGACGAAGTAACCATACCTTGTCACCCATATTATATTGTGGTTGCTCCTTGCAATAGGCATCCATGTTAGTCTTTTATTATTCTTGAGCTTCTTTTAATTGTATCTTCATTGTTGTATGAAACTCTGACAAGCCATTTGCTAAATCTTTCGTCGCAGGATTATCAACTTTTGAAAAGTCAAAAGTATCAAGATGTGGATGATAACCATAATTGACAAAGAAAGGTGTTTGTTGAGTGGAAGAATGTATCGAATTATTATATGCAAACTCTCTCAATGATAAAAGAGTTGTCTAATCATCTTGATAATAGTCGATAGTACATCTCAAATACTGCTCCAGAACTTGATTTACCCGTTCTATTTGTCCATTAATTTGAGGATGAAAAGCTGAAAAAAGCTTTATATCTATCTTTAGAATCTTGAATAGGATTTTTTAGAATCTTGAATAGGATTTTCTAGAATCTTGAATAGGATTTTCTAGAATCCTGATACAAATTGAGTCCGCCTATCCGATATAATATCCTTTGGCAATCCATGATAGCAATAGATATTGTCAATAAAAAGCATAGCTGTCAGCCGACCTCCTTCTCCGACCTTGATGCTAATCTCCCAAAGCCAGTTACTCCTAATTGAATAGTTATTTTGCTTTCAAACTTTACAAACTTGTTGAAAATCAAGCTGACTATCTTTGTAAAAATATTTCTTTTTAATCTAATTAACAAATTGACAGATATCTAAAAAAACCTCATTAGTCTTCAAAATCCTAAATTTTGAGACCATAATCCACAAAAATCTTTATGCTTTTCAATCTAACTATTTGATCAAACTCAAATTTACAGCACACATCAAGCACAACTACAACCACAAATACAAAAAGTCTCACGTTTAGATCTATTACCAAACTCTTGAAATTTCCCAAAAAATCAATCCTATTTTATTTTCTAAAAATCAAAGTCATTGAAAACAACATTGACTTTGCAAAATCATTATCTATTCAAAAACCCCAAAATCAATACTTATAAAAATCTTATCAAGTCTCCTCTCAAATTCCACTCTCCAATCAATCAAAGAACCCTAGAAACATTGTCAAGGCTTGGTTTTGTGCCTTGATGTGTGATTTTGATCCTAGTTGGTAACTGGTCTTCTACGGATATCAATTTTTATCCCTTTTGAGGTAGATTCTGCTAAAACCAACTCCTAACTCTCTCCTTCATATGCCTATATCTTTTATTTTCTAATCTACTTTATTTTTCCTTATTTAAGGCCCTACAAAATAAGTAGAAGCTACTTATTTAAAAAGTTAGCATTACTACTAAAAGTTTTAATACCTTCCTATCTTTTATCCATATTTATCTTCTTTATCTTTTAACTTGGCTCTTCTACAATAAGATCCAGATTATTATCTTTCACCATATAGTTGCGTTATAACACAACATCCACCTCCTTTGAACGTGTGCATCCTTCGATATGCACCAAATAATCCAACATTGTTTGATTCATACTATATTGTCTACATCTTCATCTAAGTCATCTTCAGCATTTTTGCTATTCAAGTCAAGTTCATCTTCTTATCTTACAAGATTTATGTCATGAATAATGTTTTTTATATTTATTCATATCTGTCTTTATTTGAATATCTTCAATCACTTCCTTATAATTGATATTTTTAACCATGTTCTATCTAGCTCTCATAATGAATAAGTTGCATTAACAGAGCTAACAATTGTTATCAAAAATAATCCAAACCATTGCTTTAAATACTTTTTTAAAGTACTATGTTGATTGTCCAAGCTACTATCATAGACCAATACCAAATCACCTTGTTCTATTGCTTTAGATCTCAATTGATGTTGATTATCAAATTATGCCTTGTTTTGTAATTTTATTTTTATTTTTTTATGGTCTTTGCTCCAATTGTCAATTTTGAATAGCTACAAGTTCTTCTCTTATCTATTATTTTATATTTTGTCTTCACAATGACCTTTGATGCTTGAAAAAAAAAAAAAAATCAAGTAGAAAGTAATATTTTTGAATGAATTTGTACAACCTTATCATCATCTTCTAATCCAATAGATGCAATTTTCTCCAAAAATCTTTCAATCCATTTTCTTCATAAATATCAAAATCTTTCATCATCTTCTAATATTTCTAACTCACATAATTCTTTTTCAATCATTTTTTTTTTTTAAATACCAATAAAACTTGAATCAAAGGCACCTATATCTTTTAAGAGTACCTCCCTTTTCATACCTCTATAGTCTTGCTTTATAGTGATTCTTCTCCAAAATCTTTTTTTTTTTTTTTTTCAATGCCAATGTTTCCATTTATTCCACATATGTAAGTAGTTTGGAAATATCCTCCTTTACACATGATCAAATCATTGGCGAGGTACAAAATTTGAAATAAAAAGATTGAATTGAAACATCTCCCACATACATCTTGCTTGTATCTTTTTTCTTATTTCTTTGATTCTAAGTCTCATTTAAGATGTCTATGTAATCTTTAAATCCATTGCCCATGTCTTTATATTTGAAGATTTTTGGATTTTCAACCCTTGAATTCCATACTTAATGATAAACCTTATCTTTGACAAAATCTAATTGTGTCTCCATTATATATGCATTACATACGTAACCTTGACCTTGGTCCAAAAGAGAAGTAGTCACAATTAACTTAATCATAGTCAATGACTTCGTACCTTTATCTTTTATTCTATAATCTTTATTTGCCACATAATCTTGTATAACATCCTTCATATCTTCTTAAATGCATCCTTGTGAAACATCATAACCTTTTGTTGTCTCAAAGCATTGTATAACCTCATAATATTGAAAAATCTCATGCCCTTTCAAAATTTAATGCTCTTGAAAAGTCTCTTAACTTTCACAATAACCTTTTGTGGTTTCACAACCACATTTAATATCATAACCTTGTGCAATCTCATAACCCTCTCTATAATGATCATGTAAAAACTCATAACTTCTTTCATCCTTTCCATATGTGGTCTCATAGCCATATGCAATTTGACTTTCATCATCATTCCCATGCATAATTCCACCACCTCTTATATCATAATGTTGCAAATTTATATAACCTCTATGAACATCAAAGTTATCTTGTAATTAATGCAATAGTGCCAATGCAAAAGCATAGAAGGAAAAGCTTACACTTCTTAGGATGTGAGTAGTTAAGTGTTTACTTATTAATGCAAAAAATACACTATGTGTCAAAAATAAATATAGAATCAATTTTGTCTAGAATAGAAATAAGATTTTTTTTATCAATGTAAATACTTTGATTTAGTATAAATTTGCACCCTTAACCTGAAAACTAGATTTTCAGCCTGTAGGGGATCTGCAGTTGTTCCCTTCGCAACATAAAACCAGCTGGGTGTACATATAATGTCAGTTTTTATCAAAAAAAAAATTCCCTTCTACTGTTTCAGTAAAAGAAAATGATTTTGTGCTAGAGGCAGGGCAGTCCCAAAATAGCCCCTAGTAGTGAGAATGGTGTTGGTATAATAATGAGTGTGAAGTAAAATTTGTAGACTTCAGGTTGAACTTTAAGACGTGGTATCACTACGCCTTTTAAATCCAACACTACCTCCAAACAGTGGACTAAGCTTACGAAAGCGAAAATATGATAACATACTCGGGAATAAAGTCTCCTCTGTCGGATCGTACACAGGGAGTAGAGATTTATCATCTTTTCACAAGTGATCCTTTCCTAAACGCAAACAGGAGTACATTTAAATCGAATCTCCGAAAAACTAACTCTCTTAGTGTATAAAAATAATATCTTCAATAATTAGCAAGGCTAATCCTAAAGCAATATAAATGTGTCAGGTGCCAGTGAATATTGCTCTTCTCTCTACAAATTATTATTCCTTAACCTTGAAGAACTTCCGTATCCTTGCGAACGCATTGGGCTTCGCGAGGTGGGGATTTTGACCGTTGCTCGGAAGTGCAGAGCTCGGGTGACTAGACTGCGTTGCAGCTTTGCTTGTGTGTGCAACGGCCTGTGAATCTTGATCAAAGCACCTACCTGAAGACGGCGGGAAGCAGATAAATCGATGGTTGTCGATTGGACGTTATACAACATGATGTCTTCACTCAAAGGTTTGAATAAAGTATCAAAGAAAATGTGAGAGGAGCAGTAACTGACCTGAGAGAGAGAGATGATGGGCTCTGGCAGGAACAGAATGAGGATTGAGTCTAGAGTATTTGAAAGATGACCATTCCTTTATCTTAGGTCGAGGCGAATAACCTTCCAAGCTGCTGTTGGTTCCTGCCTCCGAAGTTGACGCCTGTTCTTGGCTTAAAGTGAACATAGACTCCCTATCAGAGTAATCATGATCCTCTTTCAGTCGTATTTTCGACTGAGCTGCAGAGAGAAACGCGAAGTCATTGTTGAAGAACTCACGTTCCAGTCTTACACATCCAGTCAATAGAATGGAAAAGTAATGCTAAACTTGTCATATTTACCTCAAGGGTTTAACTTTTCTAATATTGATCACCTTTAAGTGTAGCCAATTCAATGTAGGGAGTAGTTGATTGACCAGAAGGTTGGCTATCATAGTACTGTGATATAAGCTTCGAAACTCTTGAATCATCCTCGACTTTCCTCACTGAAACATCCGCACCCATGAAGTTAATCATAAAACCATAGCTCAAGTATGTATGTATGTATGTATGAGTACACATATACACGTATTTCAGAGAAGGATCAGATGGATGCAGACTCAATTGATTGATGATAGAGTAGGCGAAAGGCTTACATTGGTTGTAAAAGGTGGTTCTTCCAACGCAACCCAACCATTCCACTAACAAATTCGACATTTCTATGTCTCGCCTTGATCCGAAATCCAGATTTTCAGTGTCCAGAAGAATTCCAGCCAGCTGCCGTGATTACAATTTTGTGAGGAATATCATAAAACCAACCAAAATTGAATCGACTGATTACCACATCTAACCTCACACTTCGTGGATACTTCATGGAAGAAGAAAATACCAAAACATAGTTTCCATCTCGTACAGATTGCGCTGCAATCAAAGTAGACAACTGACTTCTTACAATGAATGCTTTAATGTATGGAGGCTGAAGTAAGCATCGATGTCCAGCTAGAAGCATCTCCATAAGAATTGTGCATACGGAGCCCACCTGCAAAACGAAGAACAATCCAATTTATAAGTTACTGCTATGAGATTGTTTTTTTAAATGCCAAGAAAGACCTTGACCCTAGAGTTAAAGTTCAAAAGTTCATTCCTGAAGAATTAGTGAAGAGACCTTGGCGTGCCACAAAAAAAACACTTCATAGAAATCCAAGGTATTGATGAATGATTGTTAATGTAGAGCAGATTGTAAGAGTTACCTCATTCCTCGTCATCAGCACATCTTGTCCTATTATGGACATCTTAATGCGCCTTGCTTCCACCAAGGTTGACAACTCTACCTGCACGAGGAGATCAGAGGAAAATCCGTTTGAAAACGAACGAAGGTACTTCGGTGATGCTAATTCTCAGAAAAAGGCCATCTATCAAGTCTAGACGGCCAAATGTTATTCATTGCACAAGGTTCATCACGCTTTCCATCTTTTCTGCATGCCACTAAGTTCCACTGGCAACATAGCGTAGCATTAGCATGTCTATCACGTGCACGAATCAGCAGCAACTGAAAAATTTCATGTTAGATTTAATAGGCATTATATGTACAGGTAAGGATTAAGAAAGAAAATTCGAATGTAATGTACGTTACCTCATCTGCAAAAAGTAACGCTCGAGGATCGATTCCGCACACGTCAAACAACCAAATAGAATCCTTGTGCTCGTACATTTTCTGCCTTGGCATGTCAATCATCGGGACCGGATACCATATATTGCCACTGACCTTGAGTGAGGAATTCTCTTGTAGCCATGCATAGCCGAGTGCAGATACAATGGAGCTAAGTTCTGCGCACTCACTCGAAAAATAAAATAGAATAAATGATCCTTACAGCATGCCACAATCACGCTGGTGACCAATCACACCAACCCAAAAATCTCAAGTACAGTAATCCGGCTTCAAAGAGCAATAAACAATCAGAAACCACCTCAAACCAATAGAGTTGTGGGCGAGGGATTCACCAAGTCCTTTTCTCGGTATAATAATAGAAAAGCAATCTGAATTTCCTGAATCTACACCACTGCGAAGGCGCTCTTTCTGAGCTCTCAAAAATCTGTTGAAATGCTGCACTTGAGAACACTTCAGTGTAAATTTGGACGAAGTAAGGCGTTGCTCATCATACATTTCACTGAACTCCTCTGGGAAGGACGATGGCATCTGATCCTCCCACTCTTCATCAGTCGAAAGTCCCGTTCTCTTCAGGACGGCGCTATTTATTCCTGGACTTTCAATGCTCCTGAAACTCCCGCGGCTTTTAGTTGAACTTTCAACACTTCGAAAGCTACCAAAACAATCCTCAAAAATGTCTGTATCAGCAGTAGGTTGCGATGCACTTGCTTCAGGAGTACTCCTCACCTCGATTGAAGGTCCTCGTTTCGGGTATTCTTTAATAACGTTAACGATAGGAGGAACAAGGAGCTTCCGTGGGGGTAGCAGCAACTCCTGGGCATCACGAGTTGGTAAACGTGGCTGACTGGGAGTAAACGCAGAGTTTACAGGATTAGAACCTGAGCACAGTGCAGCTGTGGGACCTGCGTAAATCCGTTTCGAGGAAAACTTCAAGAGACCAATCATAAATCGAACATTCAACGGCTACGACTAATGTGAATTGCTGAGAACATGTAAAGCCTACTGACAAACTTCACTCAGCTTGCAAGAATATACAATTGTTAATGGAGCTACTAACTTCATGTTAGATAAACATTTTGCTTAAGGTTATTCTGTGTGAGTAGTAGTTTATCATTCAGTACGAGAGCACAGATAAAATTGCTTTTAAGATCAGGAAATAGTATGAGCTCATGATCTCAAAATCTGCTTAAAATTTCTATTGAAGACGACCAACCGAGTTAAAGAGCTCTGTTGTACCTGCACCCCAGGACCAACCCCTCCTGTGCTTGGGAGCTCTATCGCAGGCAAATTTTTCAGTAGTCCCCCAGCCCGAGAAACAGTCTGAATGGGAATTAAAAGCATCACGGGCATCACCCTCGGCATTTGAAGTACAATAAATGCCCCCAGATTTGACACGCTTTTGTGTTTTCGTGCTCGGGCGTGGCAGAGGTGGAGGAGCAGCCATGAGAACCTCCTTGTTTGATTTTGACCTTGACTTTGACCCCCACTTCCACTTGAAAGTCCATGGCCGAGAGCTGATCTTCAGAGAAGCCTCAGACGATGAATTGAGTTGTTGCTTGCTTGAAACTGACCTCTTAGAAGCTTCATTGCAACCATGTGCTTCTAACCTCCCTGCTCTCATTTCGGAAGAAGGATCGATGATTTCACGGTCACTTCCTGTAGGCATGGTGGTTTTAAGATCGGGGTCAGTCCAGTTTCTGTAACTGAAGTCTGGTCTTCGTGACTCTAAGCTGCCAGAAAACTTTCGGTGTAATTCAGATGAATACTTTAAAACGGAATCTGTAATAGTGTTCCCCTCTCTGGTAGGGCTCTTTTCCTTGCCTGCATTAATGCCAAAACAAATGAGAGCAAGATCCATGGTCCAGAATGGTATGATAGGGTGTACCATTTTATATACGCAGTACGGCATACATGGCTTATCATAAATAAACTGCCATCAGCTGCTATGTGCATATATTTCTAAAAGAATCTAGATGTTTGCTTAAAACTGTGGGGCCGGTGTCTGTGTCGATCAACGTTACATCATAACTGTATATGTGTATTGAAAACAAGTTTACGTTTTGATACCCAGGATGGTATCAGACCCTTTCCGAGCTCCTCGTCCTTTGAGCTTCCATCTTCTCAAAAGTTTTGCAGTCTGAGAATCTCCTAAGGCATACTGAGGAGAAATTAACAAAGAGCCAGACACATGCGTCCGCGCGTCTTCGCAGTTCTTACCTCCATGCGTCGCTTGAGTCGATTCCCAAGCAACAGATTTCTCATTCACGCCTTGCAAGTCTTCTGCAAGCCTGGGTGTTCTCACCTTGATTTGCGGCAGGCTGTTGGTGTTACCTGGAAAGATTTCATCCCTAGGAAGAACCACTTTGTTAAAATGAACAGCCCTGTCGCTACTGTCAGGCGTCCCCACCACTGTCAACTGCGGAGAGAACCGAATATCAGTTTCTTCCAAATGCTGGTCTAGTGCCAAGGAGCGCGACGAGCAGCTCCGCTTCGCTGACCCAACACCCGACCCAGCCACGCGCTTGGCAGAAGAATTCGGGTTGCTCTCATCAGAGGTGTTAGTGAGAAATTTCTCGAGGCTCAGAAACTTCGGCCTCTGAGGGACCTCTAAAGCATGCACTCCCGTATGTCCGGGAGCTATATCCTCTCCTCGCAGAAAGTCTTGGCTAACAATGAAAAGAGAGGTTGCATCCGAGGGGGAAGCCTCCACTAGTACACATTTGGTTCGCCTCTGCGACTCATGAATTTGAGATGAGATGCGTGGATCAGTCGTGGAAACCGGCGAGCTCTCAGAAGAGCTCGATGTTTTCACATCACCAAGAGGCAACCCCTCCATGGGCTTTGATGTTTCCTCGCTGGTGAGGAATGGCATCTCCACCACTTCAGCGGACTTAACAGATATGCTCTCACAAAGCTTTAAATCCTCCATAACCGAGAGAGGCCGCTTCTCCACATCTTTCGTGAAGTTTTGTGGCACCCTCTCCTCAGAATTTGAGAAGGACAAAGGAGAGCTCTCTCCAGACGAACTTTCCCGAGGTGAACTATTCTGAGAGGAAAGCTCAGAGGACATATGTGTGTCTACATCAGCGATAGGTGACTTGCCTCCACCAGGCGATGACATTTCCATATGGTTTGTAGAGATGACAAACGAGCCCTTGGCAGGCTTTGATATTTCCGTGGTGAAGAGAGTCTTCTCCTCACACTTTGTAGCCATGAGGGGAAACCATTTAAACGGTTTCGGTGAAGTTCTGGTTGGTTCCTGTATCTTTTCGTCATGTCCCCTGGTCGAGAGTGACCTCTCAAGCGGTTTCGGGGACGATGCAGAGGGCTCTTGTACTTTCTCCCCAAGGTTTGTGGTGGTAAGAGGAGATCTCTCCAGCGGCTTCGGAGACGATGCAGAGGGCTCTTGTACCTTCTCCCCAAGATTCGTGGTGGTAAGAAGAGATCTCTCTACACGCTCCGGAGATGCCACAGATGGTACAAATCCCGAAGCCTCTGGGACAAACGCAAAATCTTCCTGGCGCTTGGAACCCTCATCAGCTTTGCTGCTGATCGTGATGGTCCTCCAGGGCAATGTGAAATTCGAGAATGACGAGCCACGCTGAAGTTGTGGTTTCAGCTCCTTTGCCTCTTCTCTAAGCTCAGCAAACGTAGCAGGAATCTGCATGATGAGATTAAATTCGCGTAATCCATAGTTACAACAATCATAGATAAATCACATGGTTCTAGCGGACTCCACCATTCTCCTTCTTAAACCGAATTTGAAATTAACACATATCCACTAACACAGTACCCTCTAAACCATGTCCAAAAGTTGACTCTAATGAAACAAGCAAGACATCATCAAAATTTGGAAGATCGCAACCATTTAGAGAATGGCGATTGTGCAAGCAGAGCTCTGACGAACAACTAAGTGAACCCTGAAACCTCTTTCTATAATCATGTGACTTGTGAACCTAGGTTTCAAGAGCCCCGACATTTTCCAGAATAAGAAAGATGTCCAACGCGTTACGAGAGATTTTTTTTAATTCAGTGCATCAAAAAGTGTCGCACCTCGACGGGATAAATGTGGCGAGAAAGCGAGGATGATAAGAAAGATACCTCGTCCATCAAAAAGGTAGAAGTCTGCTCAACTGCTGCTGTCCACCAGTTGGCAATGTCCCGGCCAATATCCCTGCCAGAAATACTGCCAAAGCTTCTCCCAGAAACAATGCCGCTGTCCTTGCCCATGTCTCGTCTGCTGTAAGATCGCCATGCTAAGAATTTCCCCCTTCCTAATCCAGCAGTTTCCGATTCGGATGCGTCCATATCTCCAAACTATCCTTTCCTCGCTACCTTTCGCATCACTATACCACTTGATCCCTTGGCTTGTCGGACAATATTTCTCCAGCACCTTTGTCAAATCTCCGCTGTAACAGCTCAAGCTCATTCATCCCGCCTCAAGTAGAAAATAGGAGTCAGACATTTTTGAGTATCTCTGGATGTCTTCTCCAGTTATTAAGTAATTTCTGAACCATTGTCTAATCATTGGCTCTATGGGTCAAGCGGGAGAAGATTCACAGCTCCAATGCTGGGCTCTCATGCACTTCCATCTTGCCTCCATCACTCAATCACCAGATCCTTCGCACTTTGAACAGCTGTAAAGTACATGAAGTTGTCCTCAGTCTCATTCAACAGACATGCTGCTTCCAAATGTAGAATTTCGAGAAGAATCAGGATCAACAAAAATAAGATAAAAACAAAAATAAATTAAAAAAGAAAACAGCATGAAGACTTGGTAGGGGTGCGCAGCAGCTGATCGGAAGCAAGAAAACGAAATATCTATCGACCTGCCGTCCAACTTGGAGCTTGTGCCGCAGAGAGAGACGCAAGCTCACATTCGTCTATTCCGTCCCAAAGCACCTCCGCCGTCTTCTCAGCATATGAGGAGAAAGTCCAACGATCCCAACATAAACCCCTCACGCCTCAAAGGTTGAAGCCCACCATCTGAGCCAATGCGTGACAATCCCACACCAAACGAGGGATCCATGAAGAGACCGAACTCCGATCTCCAAATTTCACCCACTACAAAGGCGAGCGAAAAGGTGAGTGTGTACCACTCGTCAGCAGCAAAGATGCCGGCGATCCTCAAAAAGTAAAAAGGAAAATAAATTCACTCCTGTCAGAGAGAAAGCTCCATCAGACAAAACGAGAAAAAGTCGACTCTACGTTCCAAGTAGACGATGTGCACAGCCCGTGAATCCGTCGCCAGAATCATCGACTTCAATTCACGCTTCAATCTCCACACGAGTGTTATCACTGTTGCTCCCTGGCAGCTCTCCCCACCTCGGATCCTTCTCTGCCACCACATTGGAGGGCGACCTTGCAATGAGTGGCACACGGGCAACTCCCTCGAAATGCTGCAAGCTCTTCTTCGTCGTCGTCGTCGTCGTCACATCGAACTGCTCCTCTGACACTTACAGCTCACATCCACTGGGCTTGTCTCGTCTCATTCCCCGCAAGCCACAGAGGAACTGTCGCCGTGATAAAATGACCTGAGAAGCCGCCTTCCGACTGACGGGGGAGGAGGAGGATGAATGAGCGGCGCCTTGGCCGGGGAACGGGGCCGAAGCTCCATCTCCATGTCCATCACCGCCTGTTGCATCACGGCCGCATTCGGAGGATAGAACAGACCCCACGATTCAAATTTCAAACGGATCCACTTCCAAGGCGGACAGCACCCAGCGGAAGCAGGGTACCGTGGTTGAATGTGTGCATATATGGATAAAATAATGTAAAATAAATTGATTAATTTAAAAGATAATTCCATATTCAAGTACTAAAATTGTACGTGTAATAAACACAAATCTAAATAACATAAAGATTTAAGTTGAAGTCATGTATATTTGTATACATATATATATATATATATATATACATGAGTGTGTATATATATTTATACAAGCATAGGATATATTATATACAAAAAAATAAAAACTAAAAAAATATACAATATGTTGCATCTAATTCAAAAATAAAAAATAAAATAAAATAAAAAATGCTCTTATCAATAAATTTATAAAAACTAATTCAACAAGTTATCTAAGGTTGTAATTTTTTGCCAACAAAAACAAAATGCTTAGAAAAATGGTAATATAATTGCATACTATGTTTGAAAAGCTACAAATATAAATGATACATATAAAAAAGTTATTTGTGATTTTATCAAGATGTATATTTTTTAGATTAAAATTATTAAAATTATTAGTATATAATAATATAGTATGATTAAGATAAATAACAATAATTTATTTTTAAATTAATAGTAAATCTAAAAAATACATTTTATATTATATAAGTTTAAAAATTATTTCATATTATGTAAGTTGAAAAATAAATATGATATCATAAATACTATTTTTTTGAATAAAAAAAATCAAATATAATTTTATAAATATTTTATGTAAAATAATTAGAAATGAATAGTTAAATAAGAAAAAAATTAAAACTTATAATATCATTTGTAAAATATAATTAAAAATATAGATATAAAAATTTAATAAGATTTTATATAATTCAAAGATAAAGTGACTATAAATAAGTTCAACTTTAATGTTACAAAAATATGTTATACCTAATAAATGTCAAATTCATGAATCATAATAAAACTCTAAAAAAGCAATAATTTTTCTTAATACTTAAAATGAGATAGTAGACAAATCAATGATGGATATAAGATGGAAATTAGAATGGTTGTTGTTAAATACAAAGAGACTAGAGATTCTTCAAATAAGACAAGAATACAAGAAATGCATAGACAAGAATAAGAAAGACCTTATTTTTGCATCTATATATACTATCTAACTAGGAGCTATGTGGCAACATTTTATATGACCTTTGATATGTATTCAGCTTGTGAGACACATGTCCAACTTGTAAGAAAAGTTTTGTACATGTGCACTATGTGGCCAACTTCTTTGACAAGTTTTCAACCTACTAATTACCTACAAATACAAATAAAGTCAAATTTACATCTATAAAGCTTCTAAGAAGCTTTTTTATAAGATATTATCAAATTTATTTATTTATATTTAATCCTATCTAATTCTTTTAATCAAGGTAAATATGAATATTCATAATATTATCCTTCTTTCTAAAAATAAGTTCTACAAAGAACAATAATTACATGTTAAAGTAGTCCAAGATGCAACAATTTGTATTTGCTACAGATTTTGGTTTTTATTCTCATTGAAGGTAGTTGATAAGTCTTTTCAACCATTTATAAAGTCATGTACTAGAACAAAAAGATAGTGTTATTTGATAATTTTTGAGGCCTTTATAATTTACTTCAAACAAAACACTTCAAATACTATTATGGATGGTTCTTAATTCTAATAATATTATTAAATATCAAGGATCTCTTCCAAATTTTTGATACCAAATACATTATATTTTGCCATTTATTTGACAAAGAATATGTCATTTGTGATGGTTTTCATTTCTATTACATTATCTTGAAGACAATAATAATTTTAATATCTTCTCTAATAATTCAAAAACTATATCTTTGACATTGAATTTCCTATTTATTGATTATTTATCTCTTTAGTACTACAAATATATAAAAACTATGAATAAAGATAGATGATAGAATGCAATCTTTATTAAATCTTATTTTCTTTGTAGCATGAAATTGCTTGGTTTTTTATTTTGGTTTTGATGGATGTTGTTAATAAAAAATATCAAACTTCTTTGTTATATTGGTAAGATTCTTTGTTGGCTCTTATGTACATTCAATTATATCATATTTATACAAAAATACAAGATATTTTAATCTATTTTGGTGTTGTTTTAAGTCTAAGATTTCTTTGACTTCAAGATCTTAATTATTAATTATTTTTATATAAAGGAATGAAATTTATCATCTTTTTGGTATATTCACTATCTTTTGTGGTTTAAAAAGAAATATATAAAATATTAGATAGATTTTCATATATTCTAGTACGTATAATCAATAAACAATTAAATTAATCTATTATCAAATAGAGAATGGTTCTAGTCTATCATAATCCAACTTATCAAAAGAATGACTAGTTTTAATATTAGAAGAAAAAAACTATATCTTGTTGCCAATGTAGAATTGAGGTTGTTCCTTATAATAGGCATATGCATTGATTTTTTGTTATTGTTGAGTTTCTATTAATTGTATCTTTATTATTACATGTAGTTTTGAAAAATAATTTGTTGAATCTTTCTTTGTAGGATTATCAATTTTAAAAAATCAAAAGTACCAAATTATTAATAATAACCATAATAAGCATAAAAAAGTGTTGGATGAATAAAATAATTTATTATATTATAATAAAAAAATTCTACCAACAACAAAAGAGTTGTAAAACTATCTTGATGGTAATTAATGATACAACTCAATTATTATATCAAAACTTGATTTACTTGTTTTGTTAATTTATTAACTTGAAGATAGAAAATTGAATATAATTTTATGCCTATTTTTAATATATTAAAAAGAATTTCTAAAATTCTCATATAAATTGAATCTCTTTATTTAATATAATATTCTTTAGCAATTTATGATAGCAATTAATATTTTCAAAAAAAAAAATTAATTGTTTCTTCTTTTAGATAGTTTTTATATATTATACAAAATATATCACCTCAACAAAATAATCTACTATCATGAATATAAAATCATATAAACTTGAGATTAAAAGATATGTAATGAAATGCATACAAAACTAAAGACTATGGTTATTTAAGTATCGATAGTAGTTAGAAAAGTCTTTAAGGTTGATAATAAGAATTTTTTAAACTTAAAAAAATATCACAAGATTATAATTTTTTTTTAATTATGTTCCATATTTAAAGCCACCAAAATCTTTTGATATTAATTATGATTTCGTATTTTATCTAAAATGTCTTGCTACTAGAAAATTATGACAAGCTTGAAAAACACATAGTTGTGTTTTACTTTTTAGAATACATAAGTCTCATTAGAAAAAAAAAAAAAAAAAAAAAAAAAAAAAGCTGATTCTTGAATTTAAACTTTGAAGTATTATAATATTAAGATAAATTATTGTAAAAAGTTATAGATCTTGTAATTCATCTCAATTGTTGAAAATTTTCTTAGCTAAAAAGTAATTAGATGAAATTTGTTATTTTCTCTTATTTGTAATAATATTTCACTTGAGGCAAAGTTTACTACATTTGTTTTTATAAAAAAATATCTTAAAAAATCAATTAAATAAAAAAAATTATCTTTAAAATTACAAATCTTGCTTTTTCTTCTTTATTCAATTTAAGTTTTTTTTACAAGTCAAATGTATAAGTAGAGCTACAACTTCAAAAAAAATCTTAATGAAGATCCAATAAGAAGTGACAAATCTCAAAAAACTTTGGACATCTTTTATGTACTTAAAATCTTTTTAATTTGTAATAGTTTGAATTTTCTTAAGATCCATGTAGAATGGGTAGAAATTCGTTTTTGTAAGATATGGATAAAGTAGATTAATCAATCAAGTAGGGAATGATGGCTAGAATTTGAAATTTTAGAAGTAAAGCATAAGTAAGTTGAAGAAGATATTAGAGGGGCCAGACTGTGATAGTCATGAGCGGAGGTAAGCTTAGTGCTATCTCTTTGTTCTCTTTGTTTTCTTTGTAATTGAAGAGTAATAGATAGTTTCTGAATACTATGAAGTGAATCTTTGGAATAAATCAAAGATTAATTTATATGATATTGAGTATGTAATTAGAGTACTATGTGATTGAATTATTATGAGAAGATATTGGAAGTTTGTTATCAGATTTTGTAGAAGATTGTTTTTGGATGGAAGATTATGATTGTTATTAATTGAGAGTTATGTGTGTTTTGACAAAAGAAGTCTATGATTACAAAAATTATATGAAGCAAGATTGGTTGGAGTGGAAGACTATTATTTCCAGTGTTGGATGGAATTTGTGTGTTTTGAGTGGTCTTTTGAGAGATCAAGATTACATGTTTTTGTTACCAGTTGATGAAAGAGTATTATTAATGGGAGAAAGCATTATAGTGTTCTTTGGTATTTTAGTGATTCGGATTATGGTTAATTACGTGATCCTAATATGTAAGCTCATGCAGTTATTCTTTCCATGTGTTCAAATCTCCCTCTATAGGTTTATTCTGAAAGAAATTTATAAAATAAGTAAAATGACAACCACAATCCATCACAAGACCATAATTTAAAATGATATATTTTAAGAAATTTATTTGAATTATATAAAATATATTCTTTGGAAGAAAAATATATATATTCTTTCAAAATATTCTTCTTTTCAAAAACATCTTAATAATCTTTATATTAATTCAAAGTACTACTTAAAGTCTTTATACTATAAAAAATGATATGATATTAATAACAAAAGTTGACAAATATTTTGCAGTATGCATGAAAGTTATGACATCTATAAATAAGAATTTAGTTGTGGTAGACTTATGACTTTTTACTTTAATAACAAAATTCTTAGTTATGTTATTAAAAAATTAAGATTATAAGAAATTCAATCAATTTAAAGATTATA